AAGGTTAAAGGAATGTCCCATTTCCAAAAAAAAAAAAAAAAAAGATGTCATATGTCTGATATTACAGGGTTAAGGACTTAATCATTTTCATTCAGCAATTCTGTATTTTGCTGTTCAATATTTGTAATGACATGCATTATTTTGTCCTAATAAAGTAGGATAAAATAAAGTAAATAAGTTTCTAATAGAAAATCTTAATCACTATGATGTGAAGTCTTTTTTTTACCTTTTCAGTGGGTGGTGTTCACCGTTTTCCACCAAAAGGAAAGGATATCAGTAAAGGCTGGGAAGGAGCAAGACAATCAGCATTAGGCTATCACTTGGGCGTCACCCCCTCAGTCATTAGGAGTCGCTACAACCTCACAGCAAAAGATGTGGGCACTGCCACCAACAACAGTCAGGCAGTGGCACAGGTAAACCTCTCATATTTACTGTGCAGATTTCACTGATTGACTAAATGTGTAGAGTGGTAAATCCATTAATTTATTCATATGAACAGAATTCTGAGGTGTTATTCATGGTTGTGCCAAATATCTCCACTAACTAGTTCTTGGAGCAGTACTACCACCCCGCTGACTTGGCTGAGTTCATGAGTCTGTTTGCTGGAGGATTCACACACATGTCAGCTGTAGAGCGGGTTGTGGGCACTCAGGGCGGTGGGAAAGCCGGCATTGAGGCCAGTCTGGATGTGGAATACATCATGAGCAGTGGAGCAAACATTTCTACATGGGTCTTCACAAATCCAGGTATGTGCTCCATGGCAGCATTATTTTAGTACCACTGAGATGCTATTATAGATTTTATTAATATTTTGAATTGGTTTTTATTTTTATATGTTCTGTTAAGTTTTAGTTCAAGTTTTAGTAATTTTGTTGTGTCATTTTTATTAGTTTAAAAAAACATTTTTTTTATTAATCTTTATTTCAGTTTTAGTACATCAGGTTAAACTTATTTTATTTCAGCTAGTTGCCAAGACAACATTTCTCTTAAAAACTCTGATTCATGGACATAATTTGCCTGAGTTACGTTTGCTGTTGCCTTAAAGGAATAGTTCACCCCCCAAAAAAATAAAAAATTGCTGAAAATATACTCACCCTCAGGCCATCCAAGATGTAGATGAGTTTGTTTCTTCATTTAATCAAATGTAGCATTGAGTGCCATCAGAATGAGAGTTCAAACAGCTGATTAAAAACATCACAATAATCCCCAAGTAATCCACACAACTCCAGTCCATCAATTACGTCTTTTGAAGCGATTTACCTTTAAACTATTGCTTCTGGACAAAATATGAGTCCATAATAACACTTCCTCCAGTGAAACTTCTCCAAAATCTCAAACATCTTGGATAGCCTGGGGGTGAGTCAATTTTCAGCAAATTTATATTTCTGGCTGAACTATTAGGATGTCTGCTGGTTTTTGCAAAGTCGGTATTGGTCTTCTCAAATGACCTGATTTTAGTGCATCAGTTGGGTCTGTTTCCGAATAGGTTCTTTTATTTCATGCATTGTAAAGATCACAAACTTTGTGACTTGGTCTCGGTTACAGGTCGTCATGAGTCTCAGGAGCCGTTCCTTCAGTGGATGGTGCTGCTTAGCAACATGTCTGCAGTGCCTTGGGTCCACACTATCAGCTATGGAGATGATGAGGACAGCCTTTCTGATGCCTATATGAACCGCATCAACACTGAGTTCATGAAAGCTGGCCTCAGAGGGATTTCCATGCTCTTTGCTTCTGGTAAGATAATGAAAGTCATGTTGCTGGAACAAAAGCTTTTTATTTTGTGCATTTTATTTAGAAATTTCATTAACTGCTGGTTGCATGTGCTAGTTTTTTATTTTTTCCTCTTTTGGTCTAAGATCTCAAAAAAAGACACACTCATGTTTTTTTAATGCAGGAGACAGTGGAGCAGGTTGTAGACACTTGACCAAGGAAAGAAATACTTTTAGACCGAGTTTTCCTGCATCCAGGTAGATATTGCTCTCTAAAAAACATCTGTATAACAGTGATACCTTCTATATTGAAGAATAGTTGTGTAAAATGAATCTCTTCCCTATCTAGTCCCTATGTGACCACTGTGGGGGGGACTTCTTTCAAGAACCCCTTCAAACTTACCTACGAGGTCACAGATTACATCAGTGGAGGTGGCTTTAGTAATGTGTTTGCAAGGCCAGGTTATCAGGTAAAGCTCCATGAGTCTGTATCCTTTGCTGTGTTTTGAATGAAATGCAATCTTGCTGCTTAATGAAAACTGAAGAATGTCCCTAAATAGTCTACTTTTTAAAGTAGCTGAAATAGGCACTATTCCCTGTTTTAAACAGTTGTGTGAGATCACATGACCTCTTGATTTTCATCCCATGATCTCATGTTGCATGTTAAAGGCAGCAGTTTAAATACAGTTGTCATCTTGGAAATACAATTTATTTGCATTTTTAATATCAATTGGCAAAATGAGTTGAGAAATTGATCATAGTAAAAAACAAAAACAAATCGCTGCTTTTTTCATGTCACAAAGTTTTTGCACTGTGGGATTTTGTATTCTAGGCAGTGTACTACACATTTTCACAGATGTAGTAGGTCATATGGGTATTCCGTACATACAGATATTTTGCACACTGTGCTTTTGTAAGTAGAGGCCTTGAAATTCCACCATATTATTAAAGTAGCTGCAGTCAGGTTTTCAATTATAGTGTCTTTGACTATTTGCTCATTTCTGAAGACTCTGACAAACAAGGCTGTTGTGTTTTGTTCTCTGTAGGTTGCTGCTGTTGAAGCGTATCTGAAGAGTGTTCAGCCTCTACCTCCTCAGACATATTTCAACATCACTGGAAGAGCCTATCCAGATCTAGCTGCGCTTTCTGACAACTACTGGGTTGTTACCAACCGTGTACCCGTACCATGGATCTCTGGAACTTCGGTTAGTAAATAATACAAAGAGAATGGGTTTTTGTTTGCTAGTGCACTTATAATACAGGTTGGTTATATTCATAATTGAGTATATAATAGAAAATACTAGAATTGATGTAGAAATGCAAAATAGAAGAAACTGTGTATACTGCAGGTGTGCAAGTGTGTAATACTAAGATTTTCTGACTAAAGTTTGGGGTCAGTTTTTTTTTTTTTTTTTTAAAGAAATTAATACTTTCATTCAGCAAGGATACATTAGATTTATCAAAAATGACAGTAAAGATATTTATACAGGAGTTATATAAAAAACATGTTCTGTAAAATGACTAAAGTTTGGGGTCAGTTTTTTTTTTTTTTTTTTAAAGAAATTAATACTTTCATTCAGCAAGGATACATTAGATTTATCAAAAATGACAGTAAAGATATTTATACAGGAGTTATATAAAAGTTACAAATGCTTTCTATTTTTATAACTTCATATTCATTGAAGAATCCTGAAAAAATACCTATCACAGTTTCCACAAAAATAAGCAGCAAAACTGTTTTCAACATTATTAATAAGAAGAAATTATTTCAGATGAAATCAAATGTTATTAAATTGTAATATTTCACAATATTACTGGTTTTACAGTATTTTTGATCAAATAAATGTAAATCTTAGTGAACATGAGACTTATTTCAAAAACATTGAAATAAAAAGCATTACTGACCCCAAACATTTGAACTGTTCTGTACATAAGAAAATGCAAAAACAATGTACAATATGAAGTTCCATTTTAGTTTACAATATAAAGACTTTACCCAGTAAAGTCTGCTGTTTCGTAATCTCAATGTTTTTCCAAGGCATCAACTCCAGTAGTGGGCGGAATTCTCTCCCTCATAAATGACCAGCGCTTCCTGAAGGGTCTTCCCTCATTAGGATTCATCAACCCTCGCCTTTACAAACTGCAAGGCAAAGGTCTTTATGATGTAAGTGTTTAAAAACATTTTTATCATTAGCCACTCTTTGAACCTTTTCCCCGTGTTCAGAACTATTATATCTACAAAATCTATATTTAAAATGTCAGGCCGTTTTAAATTGTAATGCTGTCCTAAAAGAATTACATATATGAAATGATCATAAAAAGCAGTAAATGGAAATACTCGCTGTAGTGTTCCTTGTGGCAACTGCATGTAGCACACACACATCTCAGAATGCAGCTATGTGTGAAATTGAGCTTGTGTAACTAGAAGCTTAAGTGTGACAGTTAAAACCTGTTCAGGTTCCCTGTTCAAGTAACCATATACTCTTAGCAAATTGATTTAACAGCGTTTTCTCCTCCTACCCTTAGGTAACAGAGGGATGTCACCTGAGTTGTCTGGATGATAAAGTTGAAGGGAAGGGTTTCTGTGCCTCCCCTTCATGGGATCCAGTAACGGGATGGGGAACACCCAATTATCCTGCTCTTCTTAAAGCTCTTATGGATTGAGCTGCTGCTTGTTTAGTCAGATTGCAAAAGAAAGGTCCACCCTTTTGCACACATTTTTTTTTTTTACTCTATTTTGTTTTTTCATTTTTTTGCTGAATCATCTAAATGATGATGCATTGTATAATCATATCAAGATATCATAGCTGTCAATCATCTAATAATCATTTTCACAAAATAATGTTCTTATTTCTGAACCTTTAACGACTGGTTGATTAACCCACCCCACATTTCTTCTCCCGTCCAACAGGTCATACGACTTCAGTTCTTTCAGATGAGGGTGATTTGTCACAGAGTAATGGATCAGGGTTTTCCAGGTGTACGCTACAACCATGTTTAAGTGTCTTTGGTGTGACAGAAAATATCTATACATTTTATCTACTTCATACAAATACATA